TTTTTGAATTATTTAAAGTATCTAAACTATTTAAATATTTAATAGTTAAAAAAGTTTAAATATGGAATCGCTTTTATTTTCAAAGGCCAGGATTAAACATATTTTTCTTTTAAAAAAAAAATCTGTAAGCAATAAATTATTTATCTTTTCAAAATGACGATCATATGTGACTAGTTTGTCCCTCAATCTCCTATATATATGTATACACACATATATGTACGTATGATATACACATATGTATAGCCCTTCTCCCGGGGCTCGACGAATGTGTGCCTCGCGCATGTTCCCACACGTTGCCCCTCGCGTAGGGCTCAACTCCCTCGCTTTTACGTCTATTATTGTAGATGGCCTTTCTCCTGGGGGTCGAATCTCTAGTGCTTACACCTGTTTATATGGCATCGCCTGGGGGCTCGGATCCTTCATGCTTCGAATCCTCACCGCTCCCCAACGTCGGATTGTGTTGATGTATCGTGCGAGCTGGAAGTAGGAAAGTGCCTCGGGAGAGGTGTTGGCTGGAACTTTTTGGGCTGGAGATCTGGGCGAGGGAATCTCGCCTTCTCAAAACGTGTCCCCAGGGGGGCATCCTGATGGATGTATGTGACATGTGGGAGCGTGGCGTGAGGGTAAGATATTGATGGTGGTAGTGGTGATGGCTATGAGGAGGAGGCGGAGGAGGAGCACTATGATGAAGAGTGGAACAGGGATGGGGATCTAGTAGAGATGATGACTATGTTGTTGACGATGATGGTGAGGCTGCTGCTGATAGTGAGGCTGCTGATGGTGGCAATGTTGTTCTTGATGGTGATGATGATGGTGGCGATACGGACGAAGTTGATCCTGAGGCTGCTGATGCTGATAATGTTGCTGCTTGTGATGCTGATTCTGAATGTGATGCTCATGATGACGAATATGATGATGCTGCTGATGATGATGACATCAATAATGGTAATGATGGTGATGCGGACGATGCTGATTATGATTGTGATGGTGTTGATGATGCTGGTGATGATGATGGTGCTGATGATGATGATGCTGATGCTCGTGGTGGTGAGGAGGATTGTGATGATGATGTTGTTGCTGCTGATGATGATGATTCTGATGATGCTGATACCGATGATGAGGAAGAGGCGCCATGTCTGGGCACCCTTCCCCACGAGGAAGAGGAAGAGGTGGAGGAGGATGGAGAAAAAAGGAGGAGTATGGCGGAGGAGGAGGATGAGGAGAAGGAAGAGGAGTAGGGAGGAGAGAGGGGGACGGGTAGGAGGAAGAAATGCAGGGGGAGGATGAGGATAAGGAGGAGCAGCAGCAGGAGGAGAAGGAGGAGGATGAGGAAAACGAGGAGGAGGAAGGGGATGATGATGATGATGATGATGATGAGGGGGGGGAGAAGGAGGAGGGGGAGGAGGCGGAGGAGGAGGAGGAGGTGGAGGAGGAGGGGGAGGAGGAAGAGGAGGACGAGGAGGAGGAGGGGGAGGAGGAGCTGGATGCGAGTGGTGGAGGAAGGGGCAGGAGGAGGATAACGATGAGGAGGCGTACGAGGAGGACCCAGCATGGACTAGGACGATACGGCTGATGATACTGATGATGATGCTGCTGATGATGGTGATGATCATGATGATGGTGGTAATGATGATGCTAATGCTGATGCTGATGCTGACGATGCTGGTGATGGCGATGCTGACGATGTGATTATGATGCTGATACTGTTGCTATTGGTGCTGCTGGCGATGAGGATGACGATGATGATGCTGATGCTGATGCTGATGATGCTGTTGATGATGATTGCGTTGGTGGTGATGATGGTGAGGATGATGGCGGCGACTGTGATTATGGTGGCGGTGGGTGGTGATTGTGGCGGCGATTATGATGGTGATGGTGCAGATGAGGATGAGGATGAGGAATCTGATGAGGATGCTATTCGGATTTTGATAATTATGCCGCCGATGATGGTATGATGCTGGTGCTAATATGTGGTGGCGATGGTGGTGGTGATGATCAAGATGCGACTGCTGATGATGATGCTGAAGATCACGGTGTTGATGTTGCTGTCGATGACGATGGCGAGGGTATTGGTGTTGTTGCGACTGCTGCGGTTGTTGGTATTGTTGTTGGTATTGATGTTGTGTGTGTTGGTGTTGTTGATGTTGATGCTGATCTTGTACATGATGATGTTGCGGCGGCTGCTGACGATGATGCTGATGGTGATGATGCTGACGATGACGATGATGACGGCACATACCTGGATGTTGAGAATGAGGTGAAAAGGAGACGGTGGCGGAGGACTAGAACGATGTAGTTGAAGTACTGAGCAGGGGGTGCGGGAGGAGGGGACAGCATCCTTGCCACTATAGGAAGAGGAGGGAGGGGAGGAGGATGAGGAGGCGGAGGAGGAGGAGGAGGAGGAGGAGGAGGAGGAGGGGGAGGAGGAGGAGGGGGAGGATGAGGCGAGGAGGAGGAGGAGGATGAGAATGGGGAGGAGGAGGAGGTCAGGGGAGCATAGCGGATGACTGAGGGAGAAGCGCAGGACGAGGATGAGGAGGCGGAGGAGGAGGAAGGAGGAGGAGGAGGAGAAGGAGTGGGTGGTGATGATGTTGATGACGATGATGAGGATGCTGATGACGAGGACGTTGATGATGCTGATGATGACGATGATGATGATGATGATGATTGTGATGGTGATGGTGCTGATGACGGGGATGGTGTGGCTGATGCTGGCGATGATACTGATTATGATGATTATGCTTATGATGATGATGCTGCTGCTGATGATGAGGATGATGATGATGATCATGGTGCTGATGATGCGGATGCTGATACTAATGGGGTTATTGCTGAGGATGTTGATGCTGCTGATGCTGATGATGATGCTGATGCTGATGATGATGCTGATGCTGATGATGCTGAGGATGATGAGGATGATGATGATGATGCGGGTGATGATGCTGATTAGGATGTGATGCTGATGGGGAGGAGGAGGAGGAGGAGGATGCGGAGGAGGAGAAGAGCAGGAGGAGGAGGATGTGGTGGTACAGGGGGAGGAGGGGGAGGAGGAGGAGGAGGATTTGGAGGGGCGAGGGGGAGGTGGGAGCAGGAGCAGGAGCAGGAGGAGACACATGAGGAGGCGTAGGACGAGGACACAGCAGGTAGTAGGAGCAGAGAGGATCATGATTCGGATGAGTATGATGACGATGCGGTGGAGGACAATTAGGATGATTCAGATGAGGGGGAGGAGCTGGATGGGGGGGTGGCATACGTATGAAGCGGGGGAGGAAGAGGATGTGCAGGTGGACGACGGGGAGAGGGACGGATGTAGGAGGAGGAGGAGCAGGAGGAGGGACATATCATGATGGTGCTGGTGATGCTGATGCTGATGCTGATGCTGATGATGCTGATGATGGTGATGACGATGCTGACGGTGAGGATGATGTTTATGAGGATGGTGATGCTGCTGTTGCTGATGATTAGGATGCCGATTATGATGATGCTGATGATGATGCTGCTGATGCTGATGATGATAATGATGGTGCTGTTGCGGTTGCTGCTGGTGATGATGGTAGTGGTGGTGGTGATGATGATGATGACGACGGTGATGACATGACGACGATGATGATGATGCTGATGATGGTGATGGTGATGGCGATTTTGATGGTGATGACGAGGATGTGGATGAGGGTGCCATGAAGATGGGGATGCGGATAAGGATGGTGTTGCAGATGATCATGTGGATGTTGTTGAGGATGATGACGCTGATGTTGATAATGGTGGTACTGGTGATAGTGATGCCTATGGTAAGGATGATGATGAGGATGATGCTGATGATGGTGACCATCATCATCATGATGCTGATGCCGGTACTGGTGAGCATGGGGACTATGTTGGTTGTGGTTTTGTTGATGTGGATGGTGTTTTTGGTTTTGATGTTGGTGATGAGGATGAGGATGAGGATGAGGATGAGGATGATGATGATGATGATGATGATGCAATTACGATACTGATGATGACGATGATGTTGATGATGATTGTGCTGGTGATGATGGTATTGATGACAATGACGATGTTGGCGATATATACAAGGATGTTGCGAAGGAGGTGATAAGGAGACGGTGGCGGAGGATCAGAACTGGGTCATTTATATAATGATCGGGGGGTAAAGGAGGAGGAGAGGGCATAATGGAAAACAGAGGAAGAGAAGGAGGAGGAGAAGGAGGAAGAGGAGGAGGAGGAGGATCATGATGATGATGAGGAGGAGGAGGAGGAGAAGGAGAAAGGGGGAGGAGCAGGAGGAGGAGGAGGAGGTTAGGGGAACGACAGAGTGAAGGAGGAAGAGGAGCAGGAAGAGGAGGAGGAGGAGGAGGAGGAGGAAGAGGAGGAGGAGAAGGAGCAGGAGGATGAGGAGGAGGTTGAGGAGGAGGTTGAGGAGGAGGAGGAGGAGGCGGAGGAGTGTGTCCCAGCGCACGGTCGCGGTGAGGCCAACGCCGCGGCCGCCAAGGCCGACAGGGAGTCCAGGTACTCAGAGGCGATGGGCAAGCTCAGGGCCGAGCTCGGGGAGGCGACCTTGCTGGGGGGGGGGAGCGGGGCGAAGCATTCGGAGGTTTTGGTGGGAAGTTGCTTCATATAGTTTTTCGTATACAGTCAGCCAGTATAGTAAGGATGGACAACCTTCCCAAGGGTACCCTTGCATCCTTGCCTCCTCGGTTCATCCTTCGCCGCTTTCGCTGGCCGCGCCCCGCTCGAAAAGCTTCGAAATGGGTGTCCAAGGCCCTTGCATCCTTATCGCGCATCCTTACTACACTGGTTGACTGTAGCTTCGGGAGGCCTTTTTCACAATTTCTACGCTTCCCGAGGTGTTCTCTCTGCGGGCTGCTCTTCGGCAGCTGCGCCTCGCCCAGAGCGTTCCTTGCGTGCCCGGATCTTCCCAGAGATGGCCGCTGGTGGCCCTTTAAAGCCAGCCCGGCACAGCATCACCGCGGCTTACTCCCCAGACATGTTTCGTCGTACAACAAAATCGGGACGGGAGCTTTTTGGCTATTTTCGGCCCCGGGGGGCCCTCGCTGGGCCGCGGGACCGACAGAATGCTATTCTCAGGATCCGTAGCCATTTTGGCTCAAGCCATGTGGGCTCGAGCTGTCAGAAGTTAATTCGGAAAGAGCACGAGCAACTGTACAGCCCCGTTGTTGCATGAGCGCCCGTCCGTGATCGACGGACATGCTTACCGTCGAGACGAGCGGCGTCCTCTTGGGGCTTCTGTCCTACACCGTCTTCTTCTTCACGTATCCATGTTTGTCTCAGATCCTACCGTTGGGCGACAGCTATCGCAGCTTAAAAACGATGGTGGTCGCGGCCCGAGTGCGTTCCAATGCCAATGCACCGCTGATCAACTTGCCTTCGTTGCCGGTGTACCTGAGCAGCCTGCATCTTTATGGGCTCGACCAGCACTCGCAACGGTGTCAGAACTTAGACGACCACGCCAAATTCTACGGCTGCGCACTGGGAAGTTACTTTCTGGTCGACTCACTCGTTGTGCTATGGTACCGTGAGACGATGGGTATGGTTTATTCAACGCTGGTGCACCATTTCTGCGGTGTGTGGGGGGCAACATAAACGCAGTTCTGATTGGTTCCCCGAACCTGTATTGCATTTGGTTTTTCGTCTGCGAGATTTCGATGCCGATGGTGAATCTGCGCTGGTTCCTTGCCAAAGTAAGCTAAGACGCGCCCAACAGCACCTTGTACGTCGTGAACGGCCTGGCCATGGTGCTCGTGTTCGGCCTGGTGCGAGTGTTTCCGCTGCCTTGGACGCTCTATTTGCATTGGGCTCGCGACTGGGACACGCTTGGGAAGGTGAAGTATGCGAGCGAGTTTGAGACTATATATGGGTTCAGCTATCAGAAGTATTGGTTCTGCATGCTGGCGGTCTTTTGTGTGCTTCAGACGACTTGGTGGATTTTGATGGTTAAGGGCGCGCTAAAGGCGATGCGGAAAACTCCGCCTAAAAAGGATGATTGAGATCGAATGTAGAATGGATTTGGTGTTGTATTGTAGGACGGGTGTGTAATTGCAGTTGTGCGAGACATGTGTTTACCATTATACAGCGTCTAATTCGGATCTGCCCTCAGCATCTGCTGTCGTAGACTGCTATTGCTGTCTGGTAGCGCGTCGGTCAGCGGGTGTCAGCGGCCTTCGTCGGGATTTGCGCACGCCGTCGTCTTTAGCACGCCTGGGCTCGATCCCTTGAGGCCTGCCGGTAAATAAAAAAATGCTATTCTCATGATGAAAAACCGGTCCCGGGGAAAGGGTCGGGACTTCCAGGAACGCCGTCCTGAAAAGATCAGGACGTCGCATGTCTGGGATTACTCCATGGGCCGCTCCACACAGGGCCTGGCCGTCGAGGGATCGATCGTGCTGGCATCTCTTTTCCCGCGGAGGGCGGCGGAGATAACGCGATGGCGCCCCTGCAGGGCGCAGCCTGCGGAAGCGAAGCGTCGGTCCTCCAAGAGATGCGCCCCTGCTCGACGCAGGCCCTCCGAAACGCACCACCCTTGGCCGCCCGCCCTTCTCCTCCTCGCTGCTCCGAGCCGTGCTTTTCTGCCACCTGCCTCCCCCCGACGGCTCGTCCGGCCCCGGCCCCGTCCGGGCCGCCACGGGCAGCCATGGCGGCCGCCGGAGCCCGCCCAGAGATCCAACGCATTGAGAACATCACGGCGGAGGTTTTCCGTATTTGTCGGCCTCGAGGGGCCCTCGCCGGGCCCCGGGACTGTGAAAAAACGACTCGGGATGAAGAGCTGGTCCTGGGGAATGGGTCGAGACCTTTGGGGACCCCGCGTTGAAGAAGTTACGACGTCGGATCTTTGGGCGCCAGTCGATGCCTAAGCCAGCAGGCCGCCTGCCGCCGCCCGCGCCGCCCGCCAAGCGTGCGCGAGAGGCCCAGGCACCCGCGAGCACCTTCCGCGCTTCGAAGCCCCGGCGGCGCGCACATCGGCGGGCGGCGCGCGAGCGGGGGCGGCCTCCGAAGGCGGCGCCGTGTGGCCCTTAGGTCGATACATCGTTCTTAATCGATCCCCATCCCCATCCCCATCCCCTTCGAGATCCCAACCCAATTAACCCCCCCCAGTCGGGGATGCACCCCTCGAACCCCGAAGGGAACGGCCCATACATCCCCATTATAGGGGGGTAGATCGGCCAGTGGGGCTCAGGCCACGCCGCTGGGGATGGGCATCGGATAAACGATACTCACTGAGAGGGCGGGGGGTCTCCTTACCCAGGCATGCGACGGCCTGATGTTTTCAGGGCGGCGTCCAGTCCGGATTCTTTCCCCAGGACCGGTCTTTAGTCCTGAGAATCGTTTTTTGGCGTTCCCGGGGCCCGGGGCCCGGCGAGGGCCCCCCCGGGGCCGAAAGTAGCCAAAAACCTCCCGTCCGGATTTTGGTGCGACGCGATCATGTCTGGGTAGAAGCCTTTCTGGCTTCCGAGTCACCCTCTTCGAAGCCTCCGTGGGGCCCCTCTGAGAAGGCCCCGCATGCCGAGGAGCCCTCCATTCCTCTTCGGGGGCCGCAGCCCTCACGGTGAGCCCCCCCCGTGGCGTGTGCGCCGCCATAATCATAAGCAGGCCGCTGGACTCGCTGCCGCGCTGAGTGCCCACAGGTTCCGCAACACCGGCGTGGAGACAAAGGTCACCTCGCGGGCCGACGTGGAGGCGGCTTTCGCGAAGATCCAGCCAGGCCGTGTGCGTCGGGCCAACGAGCAGTGGGCCATTGCATATAGCGAGTCCGTCCTGGAGCTGGGCGGCGGCGGCGACGAAGGTGCACCAGCGGGCACCGTCGAGCGAAGGAGACAGCCTCTGGCTGTCAGGTTCGCCGACGGGGTAGAAGTGGAGGGCTTCTCCGAAGGGCTTAGGCGACCCGTCCTTCTCCTCCTCCTCCTCCTCCTCCTCCTCCTCCTCCCTCCTCCATCTCCTCCTCCCCTTCCTCCTCCTGCTCCTCCCTCCTCCTCCTCCTCCTCCTACTCCTCCTCCTAGCTCCCCGTCCCCCTCCTCCTGCTCCTCTCCTCCCTTTCCTCCTCCTCTCCCTCCTCCTCCTCCTCCTCCTCCTCCTCCTCCTCCCCTCTTCCTCCTCCCCCTGCTCCTCCCCCTCCCCCTGCTCCTCCTCCTCCTCGGGTCGCCTACGGCCCCAGGGGGGAACCGTTCACGGTCAGGTTCGCCGACGGGGCAGAAGGCGCACAGGCACTGGCGGAGGTGTTCGAGTTCGGGGTGCCCGGGGGCCCGTGCCGGCCGAGGGGCCTCGGGGCCGCGGTCTCGGGGCGGTATCGCGAGACCCTCGCTGCGCGCCTCTCGGAGGGTGGCCCGTCGAGGGACAGCGGCGGCCCTCCCTGCCGCTTGTGGTGCCTTCGCGGGAAAGAGAGTATTCATCAGGAGGGACGAAAAACACAGACACAATTCATCGTCGATCCCCAGGAAAGTATGGGATAATATGGGAAGTGTGGGGGAAGACGAACACCCTGAAAATATATGAGAATATAGGGAATCCTATTATTTGTGTGTATTGTTCCCATCGTGCTTGAGGGCCACGTGCCAGCCATAACTTCGAGCGTCCAGAAAAGTGTCGAAACAGTGTCGAACGAGTAACGCCTCCCAGGGCCCGACACGTGAAAACCCTCCAATTTCAACACTTTCCTGGTGCTCGAAAGTCTTTCTGGTGGTCAAGGCTAAAGTAGGCTGGCCTTTTTGCATGCCCTCTCGGGGGGGAGAGAGAGAGAGAGAGAGAGAGAGAGAGAGAGAAAAAAAAAAAAACGAGACAGTATCTGGGCCTCCAAGATGGGGTCCGAGCAGAGGGGGTCGGAGGATTGCGCCCCATCCCCGATGCGTCGCCGATGCGGCTCGATGTAGAGCCAGACGTTCGCCACGCCGGCGTCGCCGACGCATCGGCGAAGCATTGGCGATGCGGCGCGATCTCCCGACCCCATCTACGTTTGAGGACCCGCTATACGAGGCCTCTAGAAGAGTGTCAATGGCACGCTGCTGTTGACAGCCCGTCAGCGCGCTACTCCTCCGTCTTTGTCCGAAGGCCCAGTGCTCTTCCGCGGTAGCACGCTGATATGGGCTCCCCACGGCGGCCTGTCGACTGATACGTTTGCTTGCCGACCTCCTGCGCCTCCGGGAGGCTTCTCGTCGGCACGGCTGCACCCGCTCCGAACCCGAGGGTCCCAAAGAGGGCTTTTGGGGGAGGGGGCACGAGCGGGGCAGGATGCACCACGGGAGGGCCCCGGGGGCCGTCCAGGGCCAGCGTCGGGCCTGCCACGGGCGGGCCGCCGTTTGGTCTCCGCCGGCGCCCTCCTCCGATGTACTCGCCGCGGAGGGCGGCCCCGCGTGGCCGCTGCTGGCCGAGGGGCACGACCCCGACGAGGTCTGGCGCTCGATCGGGGGCTCCCAGGTCAGGATCGTTTCACCGATCCCCAACTCGGGGGCGGCAAAGAGGGGGGTGATGACTAGGGGGGGGGGATATCATGGCGGGGGCCATGATAGTTCCCAGATTTCATGGCGCCTCTTCTTATTTCATTACGTCCCTGGCCCCCCCGCTGGGCCGCGCACATGCCCACATGCCGCCGGTCATGATTTGCATCCCCACTCTTGGACACCCCCCTCTTGGCCGCTCCCGACTACCCCCATCCCGATCCCTGTCCCGATATCCCCACCATCTTGCCGCCCCAGTTGGGGATGCATGCCTCTGGAAGCCCGAAGGGAGCAGCCTAATTATGTAGTCTAGGCCTCCTAGAGGGGGTCCGAGTAGATGGGTTTGGAGGGTCGCTCCGCATCGCCGATGCACCGCCGATGCGGCTCGATGTGGTTCCCGAGTTGCTCCACGCCGACGTCGCCCATACATCGCCGACGTCGACGATGCATCGCCGATGCATCGCCAATAAATTGCCGATGCATCGCCAACGTATCGGCGATGCGGCGCGATTCTCCGACCCCACCTGCTCGGACCACATCGGGGAGGCCTCTGTCTCTATAAATGTATATACTGATATATATATATATATATATATATATATATATATATATATATCTCCCCATGCAGGGGGTGGGTCGGCCAGTGGGGCCCAGGCAACGCCAGTGGGGATGGGGGTCGGTCAATCGATGCCCACCAGGTGTTCCAGGAGCCGACCTCTGTGTTCCGCGCCGGCGGGCCGCTGCCGGCGAGGCAGGGCCACCATTATGAACCATGTCGACCCGAGCCATTCGATTCGTCATCGGCTCCTCGATCCGAGTCGATTCCCGTGTCTCGACCCCAGACATGATCGCGTCGTAAAAAAAATCGGGGCGGGAGGTTTTTGTTTTTGCCAGTTTTCGGCCTCGGGAGGCCCTCGCCAGGCCTCGGGACCGTCAAAAAACGACTCGGGACGAAAATCCGGTCCCGGGGAAAGGGTCGGGATTTCCAGGGACGCCGTCTTGAAACAACCAGGATGTCGCATGTCTGGGTCGGTCCGATGCGGCCCGATGCTCGCATGGCACGGCCGCCCAGTTTGCCGCGGCCGGTCCGACATCGATTTCGGCTCCGCGCCGATGCGGCCTTAGATCCGAGCCAGTTTTTATTGGTCTGGAGCCGGCCGCCCCCCGCGAGGGCCCTGGGGTCTGTGCGCTTCGTGTGCATCTCGGACACCCACGGTAGGCACGACGACCTGTCGCCGCTGCTGCCCGAGGGGGACGTGCTGCTGCACGCCGGGGACTTCACCTCGTGCGGCGACCTGGGCCAGCTGCGCTGCTTCGGCTCCTGGCTCGGCTCGCTGCCCTACCGTCGGAAGCTGGTGGTCGCCGGGAACCACGACGTCACGCTGCACGAGGAGTATTACCTGGCGACAGGCAAGCGGCGCTTCCACGCGCAGGCGCCGCTGGACCCGGCGCTGGCGCGCGCCGCGTTCCTGGAGGCCTGTGGCGACTCCGTGACGTTCCTGGAGGACGAGGCGGCGGTGGTGGAGGGCGTGCGCGTCTACGGCAGCCCGTGGCAGCCAGAGTTCGCGGACTGGGCCTTTGGCTTGCCCCGCGGGCCTGCCCTGGCTCACAAGTGGGCTGCCATCCCGGACGACACGGACGTGCTCCTCACGCACGGCCCCCCGCTCGGCCGTGGCGACCTCTGCAGTGGGGGCAACCGCGCTGGCTGCGCCGACCTGCTGAGCAGGGTGCAGGGTCAGGTGCGACCCCGGTTCTCCGTCTTCGGGCACATCCACGAGGGCCACGGCGTCACGTTTGACGGGGTGACCCACTTCGTGAATGCCGCCTCCTCCTCGTTGGCCAATCGCTGCGAGAACGTGCCTTTCGTGTTCGATGTCGTGCCAGGCGGGTGAGATCCAGTTTGCAGCCGCACTGATCGGACGGAGCCCGGGCGAGGACAAATCCGATCCAGAGCGTTCTGGATCGCTCCCAGAGCGTTCTGGAACGCTCTGACAAGGCCGCGGCGCCCGATACATCCTCCAGAGCCGCCGGACCTCAGGGATTCTCGATTTATACCCGAATTAGTCCTCGACCTGCCTTCGTCTCAGGTGAGGTCCAGGGTGCAGCTGCACTCACCGCGCACGTGCGCCGCGTCGCTGTTGGGGTGCGTGGGGCTTCTGCGGTGGGGCCCACCGGGCCGGCGGGCTGGGGGCGGGGCGAGGGCGGGCCATCCAGACGGCTGGGGTGGGCACGCAATCCAGAAGTGCCCGCGCCGGGGTTTGGACGATCTGCAGCCTCCGGGGGCCTTGGCCACGAGACCGTCAGCAAAGCGACTCGGGATGAGAAGCGGGTCCTGGGGAATGAGTTGGGACTTCCAGGGGCCCCGTATATACGGACAAGAATCAAGCAGTGGCGAAGAGTCCCGGCTTGCCAATAGGCCCACCAAAGAATGTTCCAAGAACCTTTTGTGGTCTGCGCGAACTGTTATCAGAACATTTCTGGCTGGGACTGTCCTGTTCTAGCACATCGGGGTTACGTTCTAATGATATTGCTTTTGTTCTTAGAACTTGTTTTGATTATAAGAACATGTCGTGGTAGGCCTAAAGGAATGCCGAGACGGTCTGTTCAAAAGAACAGGGACATCGCATCGCGAAGGGGCAGCGGGTGGGCGGGATGCCACAGACGGCTAGGCGGCACGCAGGTGGGGGTACCCTTACCCGCCCCCTCACCCCTGGACAGCGACCATTCGCGGAACCATGATAAAACAATCAGTGTTGGCCTCGATGAACAAATGGCAACATAGCGAAAAATCACTGCCAGTTGCTGCGGAATTTTGCTCGATCCCGACACTGAGCCGCGCTGGCCACGCGGGGCACAAAACACAAACTGGGCGAAAAAATGCCCGGATCTCGAAAATATTGTGAGTCGCCACGATCTGAAGAATGTTGTTTCCGATGCTCGGAACCCAGACATGATCGCCAGGTGATAAAGATCACGACGCGGGCGGTTTTTTGTTATTTTCGGCATCCGGGGGCCCTCGCCGGGCCCTGGGACTGTCAGCAAGATGACTTAGGCTGATAAGCTGGTCCAAGGGACCGGGGACCCCGTATTGAACAAATATTCAGAAAACGAATGTTATGGAAGGGGTGCATGCCTCCCAGACCCCCGACGTCATGATTTTCTCACTACGTCGACCCCCAGATGCTTTGACCCATTCCACGGGACCAGCGCCTCATTCTGAATCGTTTTTTAGCGGTCCTGGGGCCCGGCGAGGGCCCCCAGAGGCCGAAAATTAAAAGCACAAAAAAAACACCCTCCGCCATGAGTTCCTCGCGATTCTAAGGGGTCTGGGCTCGCAGGGGAGCCGGATCGCCGGAGGCAAGCCACGCGGTCCTGCACGCGCGAGCGGCCATCACCACGCGGCCCTGGACCTCGCCTCGGCGGGCGCCGCGGCCTGTGAGTTTCCCGCGCCCCGCCCGCCGAGCTCGGCGTCGAGCTGTTGGCGAGCTGGGTGCGCTCGCCGTGCCGATGCTCAGATGATGCTGCAACCTACTTCAGCCTTGTTCGCCAGGAAGCATTTCGAGCGCCCCAAGAAAAGTACCGACGCTCAAGGGCTTTTACGTGTCGGGCCCTGGGAGACACTCGCCTGAGACTGTTTCGCCAATGTTTCGACACTCTTTTGACACTTTTCCAGGTGCTCGAAATTGTTTCTGGGATGTGGTCATTAAGTAGGATGGGAACAACATAAACCTTCCCTCGTTCTCCTCGTTTTGGGCCTCCTGGGAGGCCCTCGTCGCCACCGCCAGCTTCGCTGCGAGATCCTAATCGCGCGCACCCTGGGAGAGGTCTGGGGAGGTCTGCGGCATCGGTGCCTTTTTTAGTTCTCCCAGAGTCCGCCCCAGGCTTGCCTCGAGGAGGGGGGGCCGAGCTGAGACACCCGTGCCTGGCCTCTGGGGGGGCCCCTCGTCGCCAAAGCTGGACGCAGCTCGGAGAACTGGTGCGTTCGGACCCTGGCAGGGGTCCGGGGATCCATTTTGAGCCGCCGTAGTCTCAAGTCGCCCTCCTTCAACTCGAAGCGCGCCGGGGCCTGCGCCGTGTACAGAGGTCTGGCTCGGGAGGTTCACGCAATCCTCCCTCGTCTCGTCCTCTTCCCTCGTCCCTCGTCCTCTTCTTCACATTCACTCAATTGCATGTGCACGCGTGTTTATTTACACATGTGTACATATCCTTGTCCATATCGCTGTGCATATATCTTTGGATCCACGGTGGACCTCTAAGGAGGCGGTCGACCTCGGGAGGCAGTGGACCCCTGTGATCCGCCGCCATTTGGGGTTCTAAGAGATCGGTTCTCTAGGCGGCGGATGCGTACGATGGCATCCAGCCGCGCAAGTCCAGGGCCCATAGGGATGCGATCGCTGGGGCTCCCTACCAGGAAACGGATGTCAAGGGTCACGATGCGAAGGGTCTCTTGCACAAGAGCGGCGGAGCAGGTTCACGTTGAACAAGAAGCAGGTTCACGTTGAGCGTCCCGAATGTTTCCAGGGGAGGCCTGGGACTCCTGCAGCACCCCTCGAAGGCAAAAGATGGACGACAGTGCTGCACAACCCCAGGAAGGACAAGTATGGGCGACAGGCCTTGTCCTGGATCTCTGAGAGCACGATGTGGCCGAATGTATGCCTGATAGCCGCGTCCGGCAACCCTGAACCCGAACGTGTTGACGTCTTGTTTTGACTTCCGCCAGCCTTCCGCCGGTGGACCCGCCGCAGTTCTTCAGGATGGAAAGAAACACACAGACACAATGAATCGTCGACTCCCAGGAAAATATGGGAAAATATGGGAAGTGGGGGGGAAGACAAACACCGAGAAAAGATTGGAACATATGGGGAATCCTGCTACTTTCGTGTGCATTTATGTGTGTGTGTGTGTGTGTCCCTGGGCCCCTTCAGCTCTACCTCCAGAGCAGACGTCGCGAATCCAACAGCAACTAGGACGTCTCGTGAGGGGGCCACTGACTGCCGCGAAACGGTGCTCGCCTCCCTTCATGCGCGCCCGCTCCGAGGTTCTTCCGCCGCCTGCCGCCGAGGGCGAGGCATGCCGAAGGTGAAAGGGCCTGCTGGGACGCCCAAGACTAAGTGTACCAGCGCTTCTCTTGGCTTGGTGGGCTGAACCCAGACATCCGAGGTTTTGTTTGTCAGTGCGAGGCCCCCAGGAGTCCCGATTTCCTTCCCATATATATATATATATATATATATATATTGGTTTCACCCCGAGCCGTCTGCCGATGGCCCTCGAGCTCGAAACCGTGTTCAGCAGGCCGAAGCTTGCCCAAAACGCTGGTCTTCAGTTTTTGTGAATGCGTCGGATGTCTGTGAGGGTGAGGCATCCAGAGCTTCAAAACGGCGAAGCACTGCTGCTTTGACTTCTTTCGGACGCTTGCTGTCTGGGTTAGCATCCTCCTCATCATTACCATCTGATCCTCCCTGTCACCTCGCCAGGCTGGCATCCCCGCCCTGTTTTGGAGCGCTCCCTGCGCAGGACACGGCCGAGGACGGCCCCGAGGCTCCTTCCCTCGAGCCGCCGCTGATCGCGTTCGTGGAGGCCGGCCAGCCTTGAGCGGGGGGGCGGCTGCTGTTGGCGCATGGTTTGAGTTTGCACCCAGGAACTCCCAGACAGCTCCTTCTCTCCTGCCTTAACAAGATACACTCGCCGTTCGGGCGGGTGGATTTACCTAGCGAAGCAATTTCGCCAACATCAGACGGTAATGCGCGTCCGAAAGGGCTGCGCGGATCCGTAAGAAAAAGGAGGAGGACCAGGAGGACGAGGAGGGGCGAAAGAATACGGATGAGGAGGAAAGGGAAGCCGACGGCGACGATAAGGATAACCCATGGACCCATGAATGAGGAGGGTGGGCAGCAGTGTGATCGCGAGGAGTAGCAGGGAAGACGAACCACGGTGAGGGGGGAGGGTGCTTATGATGCCGAGGTAGGTCTAGGCGATATCTTGACGTTGCGTCTTTGTTCATGGATGGGGCGTTCTCGGGTGCCAGGCATGCAACCAACAAAAAACGGCTGGTCGCACATTGGGCGCCTACAACAACATGCCACTAACAATCACCAAGCAAACGGCATGCAATTAGCACACTAGCATACACCATGCAACTAGCAAACGGCATGCAACTAGCAAACACCATCCAACACGCAACTAGCAAACAACAAGCAAACGACATGCACTTAGCAAACAACAAGCAAACCTACAACATGCAACACAAAAGGAAACGGCATGCAACTAACAAACAGCAGCAACAACTACCACGCCACCAAACACACGACACGCAACGTCAACACCATTCGCACTCTAGGAACGTATCCGACCGTATCCGTGGTGTTGTAGAGGTGGCTGTTGGCAGATTTTCGGAGGGGCGGTCTTCACGCTTCTGGCGCGCGTTGCCATTTAGTTTTGATGCGCTTGCGTTGGGGCCCATATGCGTTGTTCAGTCCGTGATTTTCCTGGTTGATGTTTGATTTGATTTAGGTTCTTATGGCTTCGTTTTTTTGTAGAAGAGGGGTGAGCCAGCACAAACCAATTACACCAGGTGAAATCGGCAACCCATGGGCTCGTGGCTCTCTGGAGGACCCCATGCGCGTGGAGGGTCAACTGACCCCTTTCTCAGAATGCAAAGCCAGCACGATGCCCCCCTGAACCATCCAGTTTACCAGGCGGCCCTGGCATTCGCACTTGCGTCGCCGACGCAACTGCTAATGGGATCCCTTGTTTCCGTAGCCATTTTGGCCCAGGGGAGTTTGCTTCCGCCAGGCGTGTTCTCGCGCCGTGTCCCCACGGCGAACCTGTGTACCAACATGGTCCTTTCGAAGTTCGCCACGCCCTCCAAAGATAAGCAGGCGTCGACCAAGAAACGCTCGGCAACATCCGGCAGCCCGTCAGCTAGCAGCCCTGGCGGTGCAAAAGTTACCTGGGCCATGGCTGTCAAAGAGAAAACGAAATTCGACAAGCAGTGCGCCCAGGATTCCTCCACATCGAAGCTGCCGCAAGTATTTGCCACCGTGTGCATGGAGCTGCTGGCATCGCCAGCAAAGTTGTTGCCGACACTTCACGCCGTGCAGGGTGATGATATGTGCCGTGGGCCCATTCTCAAGAAGTTCAAGTCGAGCAAGGCCGTCGACGACGACATCGACGAGCTGTGGGCCGACATGGAGAAGCTCAGCTTGTTGCCAGAATACTGGGTGTGGGAAGTGGTCCATGCGAAAGATCCGAGCTATTTCAGCAGCACCGCAATCAAGATTATCGATAAGAAACACAGGGACAACTGCAGGAGGCTCCTCGAATGTCTTACTGGATTGAGGTCTACATACAAAATCTTCGAGGAGATGAAAAACAAGAAGCTCACCGCCCGCGTCGTTGAAGTCCTGTACGTTGCGTTTGGTTCTCGCTGGCCGTCGTTTCGAGTTCTATTTCCTAACCCTGCTGATTTGACTTGGAAGTTTCTCGGGGTGTACAGGCGCGGCGAGCCAAACGAGAACAGCAAGATTTCGGACTTGATTCATATTTCTGGTGCTCGTGCGACGGTGCCGAAGAACATGACTGTCAACTCAGAATGGTATTTCACGAACAACTGGAGCGACAGGCTTGCGCAGGGGACCGACGGGGATTCTGTCTTCACTTGTTTCACCCGATTCAGTGGCGAGGCTGACCAGCCGTGGTATCAGTTCGCCGGAAGCCCATCGAGCCAGTTGAAGCACTACGTCCAGAAGGTCAGCACTGATCTCCACGAGGAGTTTGCGAAGACCTTGTCCACCGACGTGAAGATTTCAGATACTATCAAGGAGGTGCAGAAGGACTCGAGGCGCAGGCACGGGAAGGGCCCCCCTGAGTACGCCATGCCTGCTAGTCTTGAGGCTCGGCCAGCGAGCTTCACTGCGCCAGAGCAGACTGGCCATCCGTGTGAGCTGGATTGAGTAATTTCCCTCTTTGCCCCAGCCCACCACCACTTCAAAGCCCAGGCTCACTGGGCGCTCTTTTGAGCAGCAGCTTTTCTTCGAATTTGAGCGGCGATAGAGCTGATGCGGTGTCTGTCACAGTGCTCTTGTGGCCTGGCTTCGAGGGCAAGCGAGAACGAAACTCCATCGGAAACCTACCCATATGTTTTCATTTGTTGCATGATTCGTGCCCTCGAGGCCAGTGCACGATCCGATGTCCGCTCGGGTATCAGCGTTATGGCTTGCGAAAGCGTGGGGTTGCCATCAACGTTCAGACAAGATTTCCACATTGCGTATCCCATCGAGCCATCGAAGCATCGTTGATCGAGTTCTTGCTTGCTGCTGTTGCCGACGATTGTGAAGAGCGACGGTTGCGATCGGCGTCGGCGGCGACTTCGACGACGACGACGACGACGACGAGGACGACGACGATGACGTCGACGTCGACGCCGATCGCAACCGTCGCCCTTCTCCAGTCGATTGCCGTCGCCGACGATGATCCTCCTCGTCGCCCACTTCGTCCCCCACCGTCTCGCCTTTCGTCGCTTGCACGTCAGCAGTCGAGGTCAGCGGGCAAGCTGGCAACCTCGCTCGCAGCGAGGCGGACGGCGGGCAAGGAGAGAACATAGATCCCCCATGTAAAAAGCCCCTCTCGCTGTCGGTTCGGAGGGGGTCTCGAGGGGGGCAAGCGACGGTGGGGGGAAGTTTGGGGGCGGCGGAGCTCCGCTCGGTTCTGCCCTCGCCCTTCCACCAACTCATTCTTCCGTCATAGCAGCGCGGGCTCTTAGCGCAGCCCGTGCGCGTCGACCTCGAGGCGACCTCGGCTCAGTCGCCTGGCGATGGAGGTCGATGACGGCGTCCTGGCCCCCCTGGGAGGCCAGGGCGCGGGCGCTGCAGCGGGCGACGGTGACATCGGCGACGGTGAGTCAGCGCCCCAGGCCGCCATTGCAGTCGGCGCGGCTGGCGATGCACACGGCGTGCAGGTGGCGCACAACGGCATCATCGAGCTCTGGATCGACCCTGGCAAGAAGCATCACTATTCGAAGAATCAGCTGACCCACGAGACCGTGAAGATACTGGCCCCACCAGCGGGCACGGATTATTGCGTCATTGTTTTGAATGACAACTACGCCTACATCGATTGCCCAGACGAGTCGCACTGGGCGATTCTGCTCCGGAACGAAATATCCATGCCAAAAAAAAAAAACCTGCCACCTGCTACCTGCCCAAAAAATCCATGCCCAAGTAAAGTTTGGAGGCGTTCCGTTTTCTGCCCGCCTGAG